AGGTCCTGGCTCTGCCAGGCCGAGGGCCACGGTCCCCCCAGGACCGGGGAAGTGCTGGGGCCAGAGTTGTGCCAGAGCCATTGGTAAGGGACGAGCTGTGCCAGGGCACAGCCCGGGTGGGTTAGAGATGGGCACCCAGGGCAGCCACAAGTGGCAGAGCTGCAGCGGGCACTGGCTTTGGGCTTCCTGAGCTGCCGGCTGGGCTAGCTGCAGGGGGCACCAGCTTTGGCCCCCAGTTTTGGATTTCTCAACTACTGGCTTAGTGTTTGCGGCAGCCTGGAGACTGAAATCCTCAGATTAGGCAAAGGTGTGCACAGCCGGCATCCGCAAGTGGCTGGGGGGGACACGGCTGGCACTGCAATCCAGCTGCGACAGCACCTTGCAGCTGTCCTGTGTGCAAATTAAAAAAAAAAACACCAAACTCAGAAAAGAACATCTTTAAACATGAACCCAAAGAAACCCCAAATTACTGAGTATGGGGCTGAAGGCCAGCTCTGCCTGCACTTGCTCCTGGGCCTTGCTCGGGGCTCCCCGCAGCAGCATCACCACCCTGGGGGGGGGGGGGGGGCAGTTTTCGCCCCCCGCAGCTCCCCTGGCCAAGGCCACAGCGTGGCAGCGTTCCCCCAGAAACCCCGACGGCAGCCTGAGCGCCGCAGCAAACCTCTGCTCCTTCTGAAAGAGGAAGGGGGAGCGGTATGATGAATATAGTCTTTTTATTGACTACTTCTGAGTAGAACAAACTAGATACATCTGTAACAGTTTGGGTTCCTTTATACAGTACATTAAATAAGTTATGCACAGGAATGAAGTAACAAATTTCTATTACAGAATTAAATGTCAAAAAAAATAGAAACTTCAACCCAATGTCTTCCCATGTCCGAATTTCACATTTATCATTCCATGTTTAAAAAAAAAAAAAGAAGCAATCGTTCTAATCATGACTGTTAGTATTTCATTCATTTACACTGAGGTTAATTTTAGTACACGGCCATCAAAGTTGCATGAGAATTATGGAAGACAATCTATTTACAAGCAATTTCTTCCAGCCCTGCCCTGCTCTTCTTTCCGCATCCGACCTCGCGGCAGTTGGCCGCCGCTGACCCACAGTGTACGGTCAGGACCGCAGTGAGGATTGGGATGTTGCGACTGGACTTTATTTACCTGAGGCAGCTCCGAATTTGCACGTGTCCCGTTAGGGCAGGAAAGCCCTTCCGCTCCCCGGCTCCCGGGAGAGGAGCGGGGGTGCAAGGGCAGCCCCCCGCCCAGGCGCTCTCGCAAGCCCAAAGCGTTTGCTGCTCCTCCCCACTCGACACGGCATCTACAGACCTGGGCACAGCGGACGTTTTTAAGCTTTGCCGCAGTGGCATGGACAGAGCCGCTTCCCAGGGCCTTTGCGAGGGGTGCAGCACGCAGGGCAGCACGGGGCTGCTGCAGTTTGGGGCCAACCCCGCTGCCTCCGTCTCTCCTGGGGTAAAAACCGCCGGGCTGGGTGACACCTTCCCTGGGCCCCTGCGGCCTCGCCACTGCTGCAGGTCAGGGTGGCTCGAGGGCCACCCCGATCAGGGCTGCACCAGCCCAGCGGCACAGCACCGTCATGCTCGGCTCCCAGGAGCCATGTCCGTGCGAGGGGCTCTGCTGCAGCCCGGGGCCCCGGCCCCGTCTCCTGGGGGACACGCAAGGCAGCCCCAACTGCCACTCCAGAGCTGTCTTGGAACACCAGGCGACATTGTGGCTTTTTTTGCATAACAAAACCTTGCAGACACAGGAATCGCCCGCTCTACCCCACCACAGCAGCTTCCGAAACAGCTTTCCCTAAGGGACAAAGCTGGTTCAGTGGGTCACGCATTTATCCCCGGGCAGCCAGCAGCCAGCCACACCACTGCAAACTCAATGACGATTTGTTACATCTCTATTATTCGCCTCCAATTGAAAAAGTGATCAAAAATAATTTGGGAATTACTCGCCTCATTGGGCTCCAGCCCAGCAATCGTACAAAAACAGTCACGGAAACACGGCTTTGCTGAATAGATGGTTTTGTAGAGTCCATTTGTGTGCAGCGTGGGAAGTCGGTGCGGCTCCCCAGAGGGCACGTGCCCGTCCCTCCCACGGGCTGCGCCTGCATGAAGCATTCGAGAAGAGCCGCGCTGCGCCCTGAAGCAGCCCTTCTGTGGGTGGGTGTCGATTATAGGGTTTGCGCTGCCCTGACTCCCTCCTTCCACGCCACAGCAGGGACCCTCCGAGCGATGGATCTCCCCAGGCTGACCACGCCATCCCCGCGGGACCTCACCCTGTGAGCCTGCATTTTTGGGACGGTCTCCGAAGGCCGGAAGGAGCGGTGGTGGCTGCGCATCCCCGGGCATCTCCGGGGAGAGGAGCGCAGCCGGTGTCGGAGCAGCACCGCAGGAGCCCCCCGGGGCTGGGGGCAAGAACTGACGTAGGACACCCAGTCCTGCATTTATTTTAACAGTTTGGCCAACGCAGGTGGAGAGAACAGACTATAAATAACCCATCGCAATCACGTGAGGATCTCTGTGGTTAAAAGCAACGGCAGTAACTCTCAACCCAACAACTTCCATGCACTGAAAAAAAAAAATGCTTTCTGCATAGCAAAGTAACGGTACCCAGGTGGAAGGGGCAATAACCGCCCATAACCAATCCAGATTTGCTCTGCGCTTTCCCCCAGCAAAGGTCCCACCCAGGGTAACACACAACCGGCTGTCCCGTCACAGAACGGGATTAAAACCAGGCCACCCAGAAGCGAGTGTCCGTACTTCCCTGGTATTGACATTTGGCTTAGAGCAGACGAGTCCTCTCCTCCCTCTCTGCAATCGTCAGCTGCCAACCTGCAGGCAGGAGAAGAGAAGAGGGCTCGGCTTTTGCCCTTGCACTAGAGGACAAGATGCTCCTGCTGGGAAATCGGCTCCGGTCTGTTCACAGCAACAACCGGCCAGCACAGCCATCTGAGACACCACTGTCTGGGAGCAAGGCAAAAAAAATAGATGCGTATTATGGAATAAAAGTAGCTGAAGGAGGAGGTGGCTCAGACACCTCAGGAAAGGAGCTTGAGCACGTTTGACCCGTGAGGACGGGGTTCAGCATCTCCCGCGTGCGCCGGCACCGCTCTCCACTGAGTCCAGGTCCCCCCGAGCGAGCGCCCGGCCTCCTCCAGGTCCCGAATGATGCTCTGGTACCCCCCTGCGGAGAGACGGGCGCGGAGGCGCCGCGGGCAAGGCCGGCCCCAGTTCTTCACGAGCCACAAAAGAGAAAAGGCAGAACGAGATGGCAAAGCCCGAGTGTCAGCGCTCTGAGGAGGCGGCACGATGTGTCAAATGTGTCAAGTGATACAAGTTGCTGTGGGGTTTTTTTCGGCTTAAAAAAACCCAGGGAAACTAATCAAATGGACTGAACCAAAACTTCCCCTTTAGAGTCCGTTCGTGTCTATTGCTGTCACGGATGCCGGGGTGGAGGACCGGGAGGTGGTCGCTGAAGTCTTCTCGAGGGCCGGGCTGGGCACGCCGTCGAGGCTCTTGGCGGCCGAGGCTGGCGGGGCGGCCCCCGGGAGCCGCCCCCTGCCGATCGGCCCGTGGGCAGAGCCAGCGGCTTGCTCTGGCCATGCAGGCCTTGGCCGCAGATTCGATGGTGCCTCTCCCAGTCCTTGTGCTGGCAGAAGGAGCCGCAGTACCGGGCGATGTTGCAGCCGCTGCACGTCTCGCTGGCTTTGCGACCGCAGTTCCAGCAACTCTGCAAGACCAAAGACGCCACACTTTAAAATGGGTTTAGTTTCCAAGAGCTGCAGGATGGTGCTGACTCAACAGCTCTGGAGGGGACTGTTCATCCCCCTCTGGCCTAGATTTAGTAATATTAAAATGAGCAATCCATTAATTCCTGCTATTTCACAGCTCTTTGCCAAGGGTACTAACCCCTACTCCTCTGCTCTGCCCAAAACCGCCTGCCAGACTGCACCGGTCACATCCTCTCCCCTACATCCACCCAAATGCATAGAGGAAACAGCAGGCAAGGACTAAAAAACACGCTGCAGATGCTGCTATTTGGTCTTTTTATTTCCTGTTTTAAGCAGCTCTATTTTGGTATCACTCCCAGCCAAGTGCTCTCTGCAGGGATTACAGCGTGCTGCACAGGCACCATTTGCTTTGCACCCTGCCTAGCTGCACAAGAGGTCGGAGCAGGCTAATTTGGAAAAGAAAAAGCTCATTTGAAAGCCTCCCAGCCAGGTGGAAGCACTGCCAGAGCCCAAGCTTAAATCTGGAAGCAGAGCAAAGCCCCTCTGGCCGCTGGGAGAAGCGTCAGCTGGTGGGTTTACAGCGTGCCACCGCTTCCTTATGATCGCAGGGGCAAGGGGCCAGCGCCGGGAGCTGCGGCTGCAGCTGCTGCGAGGAGGGGAGCAGGCGGATTAGCTTTCCTGCAGCTGGACTCGCGCGTTAGCAATCGCATACTGGGGAGGGCAAGTTCAGCTGCGGAAAAGCAGCCCCCGCTGGAGCCCGCCTGCCTCTAATCCTGCCTAACAGGGCACCTTTCGCTGGCCACCGCTTCTGCGACCACAAGCAAAAAGCTGTCGAAGCAGGAAAGCGGGGTGGTGGGAGATGCTGACCTGCATTGGACAGGTCTGTTGCAGGGAAGGGCAGTGAGATTCCCCGCTCCCAGGGTCTGCACCAGAGCCACCAGCTCCTGTCGATGATTTACGGGCTAGCAGCGAAGAGCCAAAGCGAGCTGGTCAGGAGTAAGCTGCTCTAGAGCCAGCGCGTCGCCGAGGCTCCTCGGTCTCTCGAGAGAAGCAGGACTCGCGACCGAAAAAAAACCCCACCAAAGCCTGCGGTAACTCTTGGAAAACCCGGTCACTGCTTTACAGCCGTTTACACTTCAAGTGGTGTTTTTAAACCACGTCAAAGGTTACACCACGTGCCAGAATACATGACAGCTTTTCAACGTGGCCTTTAGAGAAGAGCTCTGGGTGCTGGGGAGATGGGACGCCAGGCTGCTCCTGAGGTCCCGCACTGCTCCCCGGGATGGCCGGAGGAGGAGGACACTCCTCTGGTATTCTCCCACGGAGAAATCATTACTTGTCTCATTTCTTCCACAGCTTCCTGAGCAGTTCCACCCACTCCCATCATCTGTTTACTGACTGGGGCATTCGTCCTTCAGTGATTTAATCAGGAAATAGTATAGACATACTTCTCTGTAATACCACCTCATATTTACATGTTCCTGCCGTGCACAGGGACCCTGGCACCAGACCTTCCCGAGCCCCGGTCAGCAGCGTGGACAGAAACCCCCCAGGAGGGAAACGGACTTGCTGCCCGCACAGTCCCAGCAGACATGAACTCCACGTTCCCATCAGATTTTTGCTCGGCAGAAACAAAGCCTCTGCTCTTGCATTTGTGCAGAGAAATTAAAACAAGAACCAAACCACACGTGGATGGGACGTGGCGGTGCAGGAATTAGCCATGCAATTGCCCAGTCCAGCTGAGATCTCCAAAGCTTAACGAAGTGAGCTTCCAGTTACGCAACAGTGAAGGTAATTAATGATTGAGGAGTAGAAAGAAATTCTCTAAGAGACACCCATTCAGCAGGTGTTGCTGGCTATGACAAACTAAGAGTCATCCCTTCTTTTCCAACGTGCAAATGTCTCATTAGGTGTTATGAGGTTCCGTAACGCCAGCCCACACAGACGCTTCCCACCTATCCCCGAACGTATGGGAGCGGCGTAGCAAGAGACGTGGGGAGCCTGTTTCTGGAAATGAGGTGACCACACGCTGCCCGGGCCCGTGTTTCGGGAGCCAGTGAAACAACAACAACATCCATGACAATATATATGCCCCAGGCTGGTCTGCACCGACACAGGGTGTGGTATAGACCATCAGGCACATGTAGCTTCACCTGCAGCCTAGTTTCTACCCTGCGCTATTTTAAAGCCCACAAACAGCAATTCCTTTTCTCCACAGATCAAGTACCCCACAACAGCAGATTTCTGAGCTAAATGGAGAGCTGCATCCACCAGCATCCCTTTCCCTTTGCTTCCACATCTCCCTCAATCCCAAGAAATCCCTGGTCGTTACACTCAGCTCACAGTGCCCAGTGCTGCCTTCACAGAGTTGTTGTGCACACGCGGATGCTGCAGACACTGTTTAGGCTGGTTCTCCTGCCAGCAAAATCAAAAGCAAAAGGGTTTTTTAATGGTATCAGAGCATCCCTTTAGTTATTGATTGGAGAGGAAAAGGGATGGGGGACCTCCAGCCTCCGAGTCACTGCCGGGCAGGACCTGGAGACTTTGTGAGTCTTTGGAAGTCCCTTCCTGGGATGTCCCCTGGCACCTTACCTCTGTAGATTCCTCCTGTTCGTTTATCACTAAGAAAGCATCCTCGGTGGCCTGGCGCTTGGCATCTGCGATGGTCTGCTCCATCCGAGCCCTCTCGGAGGCAATCATCTCAAACGCCTTCTGCTCGGCCTCCGCCACCGCTTTCTGCACCTCTGACATGGCCTGGCGCTTCACCTCGTTCACGGCTTCTTCTGGAAGAAAAGAGCAGCTTCACCCACCCGCCCAGGGAGCGGGGTGAGCCTCCGAGAGACGTCGAGATGCAGCGGCGTGTTCCCTGCGGCTGGGACGCCTGCGGGTCACGGTCAGCATCACGACCGCCCCTGGGAGCGGCGAGGCCAGGCTCAGCCCCACGGGATCCCCACTGGCATCGTACAGAAGGAGCAGAGCCCTTTGGAAAACCCAGGCTGGGGGCGTTGGTAGCCAGATGTGCACATCCTGGGGCGTGCCTGCAGCTGGGCTTCTCCTCTTTCTGCAGAGCAAATCTGCAGCATCTGTATTTACCTCAACCAATCTGGCAGAATCTCTCGCCGAGGTTACTAGCAAACACTTACCAGCTTTTTTCCATATCTCTTCAGTGACGTAGCCCGTTCCTGACCTGCTGCTGAACTCCCGCAATGAATCTGTTGGAATAAGGGACACAGGGAAAGGTTGGCAAAGCCTCGTCTCACCCAACTGCTGCTTTAAGTGCCCAGTGGTACCTCGGTACATTGTGGGACAGGGTAGAATTAGCCAGCTAAAATTCAAAGCAGAGGATACCTACAGTTAAAGCCATTCATCAAACACTCAGATGATAAATTACAACATTTAATTAGTGCCTTGCATAATTTATGACACTGTATAACCCATTTCCATCTCCTAGTACTCTATAACAACAGGCAATGCTTATAAATATACGCCATCAAACATCTGCACTGTCCAGCGACTTTGAGCATCAATCTATACAACCAGCAGTTTACATTAAACACAGCACTTTCCCCTCCCAGGGGCAATTCAAAGGCTTGAATCGATGGACAAACTGTCCTGCAAGACCTCTAATGGTGAGAGGTGTATACATTCCCCAGCACCCATAAGCCTGCGAAGAGCCCACGTGACAGAAGGGGACCTAAACACAGACTGCAGTCACACAGAGAAGCTTTTCAGAAGCCTCATCCTGTGTTCTACCTGCATCCCTTTTTTTAAGGCTTCAGAGTAACTTTCTGAAGGGTCAAAACAAAAACTGATTCATGTCAAAGGCTGGTGGGAGAACCAAAGCACTCCAGGAAGGCGGTGAGGTTATTTAAGCCTGCGGCACACCTGGGGATGCTTCTTGATGTTTAACTGCACCTTCTCACAACAGCAATGGAGCTTGAAAATTAGCACTAGGTCCCACGAGGGGAGAAAGCATCAACGGCATTCCCAATTTATTAAAAAAAATTAAATTATATCACCTTTAACATGGGGCTGTAAGTATATTAGTCATGATATACTTAAATATAGAAGGGCTAAAAGCTGTCTGTGCTCATCAGGTCGTCACGCACACCCAGCCACCCTGCAGGCTCGCCGCACGCTGCTCTGCAGTTACGGCTGGAGCCATGGGCGCTTCATTTCCAAGAAACTTGGATTAATACATTCTATTTCAGTTCCTTCTGCTTGTGTACTTGTTACTGTTTTCCCAGGAAATACTCATTCTTGGGAACTATCGAAACTTGTTCAATTGCAGCTAAATCTGGACTGGGCTCTGATTTGGATGGTTCTTTTTGACATGCAGCAGGATTCACTCTTTATTTTGCATACGAACTAGTTGAATATATATCAAATTGAGATTTTTAGTTTAACATTTATTCTTATTGTTAGCAAACATCCATTTTTTATTATCGAATGATCAGGGGTTTTTTTTCAGCATTTGATTTGCAGCATATTTGTTTGGATGGAAATTAGAATTACATCCAAATGCATAAAATAGACTTGGTTTTTGTATAGGGTCAAAACTCCTGCATACTGGAGAGTAAAAATAGTCAACTTGAATAAAGTTAAGTTGACTCATGATACAAAAATAGAATTAATAACTTAGGTAGTAGCTCTTACACTTACAGCAGTCTTCGGTATTTTTAGAATTTGTAGACCTTGACATTTAAAATCCTTTAGGCAAGACAGACTGGAAGGGGAAGAAGGGTGGAACCAACCACCTCTCCTGCCTTTTCACCCTCTGGTTTCTCAGCTTTGAATGAACCTGGCTCGGTTTGGTCAGCAAGTACAGCTCAGGGACAAGGAAGATGCTCTTCTCCTGGCACCAGGAGAAGGTGCTGCTGCCGCCCAAAGGTGCCTTCAGACGTCAGCAAATGCTGCTTCCAGGAGCTCAGCCAGGAGCTTCCACGTGTCCAATGACTTTTCTCTCTTCAGAGCTTTGAGAACAGTTACGCACTGCTTAAGTATTTAATTTATATTATAATTTGAATACATTATGATCACTTTATGCCTAATATAGCTTTGTCGTAATTAGACATCTACTTCGAAAGATCCTGGCACAGCACGCCCACCCCTCGCTTACCGCTGCCGATGGAGTCGGAGCTGCTGGGGCTGTGCTGCCTGGAGATGAGCTCGCTGCCCGCCTTCCGCGGCTCGGCCGTCTCACTGCACCGCCTCTTCCAGTAGTTGAGCTCTTCCCGATCGGCCTCCTGGCAGCGCCGCAGCACGGCCATCGAGCGCCGGGTTTTCTCCACCATCTCCATGATGCAGTTCAGTGCCTGCAGGGAGGAATGCGTTTTCAGTCTTGCTGCCCGCTCATGAGGTCATCTCCCAAATTTCTCATCGGAGGTACCACAGGGACCATCCCAGGAAGATGAAACACGAGGTCATTTCACACGAACAGGCTCTGAGCACTTCGGGTGATGTAGTATTCAAACAGACAGGTAAGATTGGGTCCCGTACCCACAAGGGCAGCAGCGATGCTGAGCAGCACCAGCTGGGAAGGAGGTGATCACACCTGCACCATGGGGCTTTGGTCACCATCGGAGGTTTAGGGCCACGCTTCTAAAGGTGGAGGTGAAAAAAACCCACTTTCCTATGGGAATAGGGTGTCCATGCAAGGGATGACTCTGATCCTGATGCCATCTCTCCATAGCCACATCCCAACTCGCAAATATTCAGCTACGAGGCCTCTATTCCACCCCCCACCCCCCAAAACATCAGCTTTAGAGCATAAGCAAGCATGGGGTTTCTCTGCATTTGTGACCAAAATTGAACTTCAATCCCATCTCTTTGAGGGAAAAACTCCAGTGAAGTGCTTGGATGAGCAGCCTTGCTCAGAGGGAAAAAACAGACTGCAGAAAGTCTGCCAAAGTACCAAGTCTTGCTGTTGGTACCTAGTTGAGGCCCATAAAAGGCTGGCAACCCAGGAAAAAAAAGTCTTTAAAAAATAATGATGGGTTTACTTATTCTGTCAACTCCACATCCTTGCAGCACGTAGCACATCTGCACGCTTCTTGGTACAGTGCTGGCCTGGGCTGCTGCAGAAAAGACCCGTGCAGGGACAAGGTTGGGTTTGGTTGCTCAGCCAGCCAGGGCAGCACATGGCCATGCTCTGCAGAAGAAGCTCCCCAGCTCCAGACACTTCGTGCAAAGTGATTCTGGCTTCCACTGACCATGGGCAGAGAAAACCTGCCAGGAAAGTGCTATTGCTCCTATCTGCCCTCCCCACCATCCATCTTCTTGTGGTGGCTTGTTCCTCTAACAAGGAAAGCCTGGATATGGTATCAACAACAAGAAAATAACAAATTGGAGCAGGTGGAGCACTGGGTTGCTGCGTCCCACAGAGCTTCTCACACCTCCTGCCATTCCTTACGTGATCGAGATGCTTCCACTCGTCAGCCCACTCTCTCTCCGTTAAGCGGTGGTCCACCAGCTCGTCCTGGTATCCTCCATTCAAACCTGCAACAAACCACAGCCAGAAGAGTGATTAGATGGACCGAGTGCTTTCAGTGTTGGAGAGGGAAGGTGGCCTCGAAGCAATAATAAAGAGCTATATTTCCAGCTATATATAGCTGGGATTTTAAAACACATCTCAAGGAGGTGGCTCTACAGGGGCAATTCCATGCCAGCGCTTTTATCCTTGTCTGCGTGACTGTCTCAGAAGTGCCAAATCCACTCACGGGTCTGGATCTGACCTGCTTGGGGAGCTGGCTCCCTTATTTTGAACCCACAGGAGCTCAGAGCTTGTGATTCAGGCTGTCCGGTTGGAAACACAGCATGCACCTCCCACACACCCCTGGGGGGAAACGGGGCGGGGGACAGGCTCTGCTCTCCTGCTTTAGTGATCTTGGAAAAGTTAATTTCTATTTCCCTGCCCTCCATTCTTGCCTGCTGGGTTGGCTATACTCAACTCACACACCGGGTCCTTCCTCCTCATCCTCGGTGGCTCCAGCCTTTACATGTATATAGGGAAATACAAACTCTCAATCTTCCCGTTTTTAACCTTCCATGGTCAGTTGTTTTCTTTGAATTCCCTGCAAAAACTCTGCTGAGGACGTGCCCAGCATTACACAGCATTGGTGCCACGCAGGGACCAATGCTGAAGCTCAACCGCTGGACCTCAAGGCTCCTACAACTAAAAGCCCTCCAGGCTTTCTCACCAAGACCGCCGTGCCTGTCCCGAATCTCTCTGTGCTCCAACATCTTGTTGGGGTCCCTGTAGAGGTGGGAGGTCGCGATATCTTCCAAGGTGTAGTGCTGGAGGGGTGGTGGGGTGGGGTGGAACTGTCCCGCAGGGTTCATCAGGGGGATTGTCAGGGCAGGGCTGTGCCGGGGCGCGGGGCTGATGGTGCACACTCTCTTGGCCGGAGGCTCTGTCGGCAGCGGCTCCCTCTCAAAGCTGCTGTCTTCCCTTCTGCAACCACGCCGGCAGAGAGAGGGATTCATTAGCACCGCATAAACATACTTGGAAAGGGAAAGATGCAGATTTCGAATCAGCAGAGTTTGGCCAGCGTTAATTTTACTGGGAGGTGAGGGCAGGGAGCTAAACCAAACATGCTCAACTTGTGAACAAATCCACAAAATGACCCTGTCAAAGAAAAAGTTCAAGATGCCTGAGTGTTGTGATTCATTTTTCTGAGCATGACCAAATTAAAATTTCACAGTTCTGATAAATTTGAGACATGCTCCACATAATTACATAACAACTTTTAACTTGGAATAAAAAGTGGTGAAAATGAACCGCATCCTTCCCAGCCCTGACAGTGCCTCCGCTCGCTGCCTGGGGAGGCGGAGAACCGCTCAGCTTCCAGCTCAGGCTCTTCAGTGCTACCCAACAAGTCCCTCTGCCTTGGAACCTGCCTGGAAGAGGATCCCAACCTGAATTCGCAGTGCAGGAGGAGCAATCATCGGTGTCCTACTAACAGCCAGAATATTGTTGGGAGTGATAAGATCCTATGGTTTAGCCCTGGATGCTGCTTGAAGCTTTCACAGCAGCAAAGCTGAAACAAAAGTCACAACTTTAAGAACTTGGCAGAACGACGAAAGCTGTTTTTACCTGTCCGGACTGTGCCTCTTCCCATTCCCGTTCACTTCGATCAGCAGCTCGGAGGAGTCAGCGGGGGACGTCGTGTTTGTGT